TGACTGCTTCACTTCTTTTTCCTCTGAGATTAAAAACAAAACAGAAAAACCAAAGCAACAACAACAAAAAACACGTTGAGAACAGCTCATCTAGAGGATGCACACAGTCATACCAGGTTCTTTCTTTCTCTTGTTGCACATACACTGGTTACAAACATGCTTCTTTGGGGTTTGTAGTTTTGTCAAAATTATGATTGAAATCAATATATGACGGACACATTAGCATGAGTTGATAGAAAAAACACAAAGAATTTGAAAAAATTAATTTTTTACTTATTTTTGAGAGAGAGAGAGAGAGAACACAGTGAGGGAGGGGCAGAGAGAGAGGGAGACATAGAATCTGAAGCAGGATCCAGGCTCCGAGCTGTCAGCACAGAGCCCAACGCGGGGCTCGAACCCACGAACTATGAGATCATGGCCCAAGCTGAAGTCAGCTTAAAGAACTGAGCCACCCAGGTGTCCCAACAAAGGATTTGGATTTGAATCCCTGACTTGTCATTTACTAGTAACCTTTAATAAGTGATCTAACCCTCTTAACCTTTAGTTTATTACCTTAAAAATAATATGAATAATATGTAATTCATAAGATTCTTGTGAGGATTAAATAAGATACTGTAAGGAGAGCTTTCAGTACAATGGCTGGCACATAGTAAGCTCTCAATAATGATACCTATAGTATTTAACAGGATCATATTTATTACTGTTACTTTCCTTTGTATGATTCCAGGGATCAATGAGGTGCTTGTTAGGTAAACTAATATCTTGAATTCTTCAAAAGCAGAGCCTGAGACAATGATTTGTGTGCAGGATGTTTATTCAGAAGGTGATCTCAGAAGTAGAGTGAGGAAGTGAGCCGAGAAAGAGAAGAAAGCCTGTAAACGTACCTCTTTAGGCAACTGGACTCAATCCTCTAGACCTCCTGTGGGACTGTGTGAAATATACTTTAAACAGCATAGGATGGGCACCAATAGTGCCTCCTGCAACTATATAAATTAAGTCTCCAATTAGGTTTTGAATATGTATCACCTTTGTGTTTAAAATTTTTGTTGTTGTTGGGGCACCTGGGTGGCTCTGTTGGTTAAGGGTTCGACAGCTCAGGTCATGATGTCACAGTCTGTGAGTTCGAGCCCCGCACGGGGCTCTGTTCTAATAGCTCGGAGCCTGGAGCTTGCTTCAGATTGTCTCCCTCTCTCTCTGCCCCTCCCTCGCTCGCACTCTTTCTCTCTCTAAAGAATAAACATTAAAAATAATTTTAAGGGGCACCTGGGTGGCTCAGTCAGTTGAGCGTCTGACTTCGGCTCAGGTCATGATCTCACAGTTTGTGAGTTCAAGCCCCGCATCAGGCTTTGTGCTGACCGCTCAGAGCCTGGAGCCTGCTTCAGATTCTGTGTCTCCCTCTCTCTCTGCCCCTCCCCCACTCATGCTCTGTTTCTCTCTGTCTCAGAAATAAAACATTAAAAAAAAAAATAATTTTAAAAAATAAATAAATTTGTGCGTGTGTGTGTGTGTGTGTGTGTGTGGTTGTAAATCAGACAATTGTCTCCATTAGCTGACTTTCTTCTTGTTTGGACGAAGCTGCTCTACTACTGTAATCTGTTTGCTAACTCCTTCTCCACCAGGTGATACAAGGCCTGGTTTATGTTGCAAAATGTTTCAGCGTGGTAAATACATCTGTCACACTAAGCTTAAATTCACATGTTTACCATTCCATTTAAAGTTGAGGTAGCTTATCTCTTAGACCCTAGTTCTCAAAACTTAGGTGAAGGAGGAGCTTCTGGAAATCACGGAGCTCTTTATAGAGAGCACCACACTAATGGCAGAATACCACGTAATTCTGATATATTTAATTCCAAAATGCAAGTAGAAAAAAATGATTGCAAGAAATATGTCCATATTACAAAATTTTAACATGGACATGCAGACACAGATATCAGTTCAGTGTAAATGGTTCTTTGAGTTTACACTAATATTTGATAACTAATCATTAACTTGTTATCCTCTGGAATTTGCTAGTAGATAAGCAATAGTAGGCACCGTAGGTTTCAGAAAAACATGTAAAGAGAAACATTAAACATGGACAAAATTTTACCCACTTTTACATTAATCTGAGACAGAATCCGTGACCGTCCAATTTATAAAACACTGGCATTTGAGAACCCACTTAAAAGGCCAATTAAATCACTGAACTGCCAGTTTGGGGCAATGTTCACTAATCAAAATGAGGGAGGTACCATGATTCCAGGCTACTTGGAAGTTTCCAAAGGAGGAAGAGCACATAGAAGCTATGTCATAGCCACTGTGGAAGCAAAAGGTGAACTTCTGACCAATACATAATATGTTGCTCGTTTTAGGCAAGTTTTTTTTATTTTAATATTTTGCTCTAAATTAAGCAACAGACGACTGAATATAATGGAAATAGCTGCCTCCTTTGCTTACACTATTCCTTGCTTCTAGACACTCATTTCCCAAAACTGGAATGCCCTCTACCATCTTTACTTAAGGCTTACCTCAGATCTCTTGTCCCGACAAAACTGAATTTCAGCCACCTGCAATCAGGCCCTCTCTGGAATTCTTATGATAGTTTCTGTACTGCTCACTCCATACTCAGTGCCACCCTATACTGGTGGTAATCTCTCTCTCTCTCTCTCTCACACACACACCACACACACACGCACATCCCATACACTCCTCCTAGCTTCCCTAACTAGACATAGCTTACATTCTATCACTGTTTGTGCCCAGCAAGTGCCCTGTACACAGTGGGCACATGCCAATATATTAGAATCATACAATCAGGCATTACCCCAACATTATTTACACTACACTCTAACAAACATCAGTGTTTCTCAGGATCAAATCCCATAGAGATCCCATAAAGAAAAAGAAATTTGCACACCTTTAGTGTTGGCTTAAAACTTTTAAGTATTAAATGTACTCAAGTATAAAATAAAGTATGAACTCCATGTGCTTTTATCTCTAATACAACCCTGAAACTAAAAGAGTTTACAACTAAATGCAAATAAACCCAGTACATTCAAATGAACATTAATACGACAGATGATGCTGTTTAGCTGAAACTAAATTGCTGTTCAGGATGTAAATTCGATGTTGACTGCTGTAACGCAGGCTCTTTACAACTCAGCGTGCCTGTTCTGAGGTTTGCTCAGTCACCACTCCATTTTCCCACCCCGAACCACTTTGAAACCACCATTTGTACAATAAAACATCATGTCATTTGCGCTTTCCTTGGCACGAATGCATCCGTTTTGTATTAATTCCAACCTCTCTTCCTTTCTTATTTACTTGTGACAATGCACGTGCTTCTTGGCATCAACGTGGCCTTAAATGCAGATACTGCAAAATCATGTGGTGATACTTTGTTGTACGGTGATCGTCCAAATGACAATGATGATAATAATATTAATAGCTGATATTTACAGACGACTTACTACGTGTCAAGCACCTTTCTCTATCTAGACTATCCCACTGAATGCCTCTATTTACTGCTTGAGAAAGATGCTATTGTGATCACGATTTTATAGATGAGCAAACTGGGGCTCAGAGAACTTCAATAGCATTTTCAAATCCATGCCATGTATATAGAATTTAAGCCCATAAAGTCTGACTCCAGATCCTGAACACAATACTTCTATTAATTTGTTTCATTTATCATTAAAATGAACACAAAATTAGAACAAATGTTGTACAGAATAACGCACTCCAATGTTCGATATTTCTATACACTTACAATTCATCACAGGCTCAGTAATCATGCCGGCCAATTTGTTTTGAACCACTAGGTGCATGTGTCCTTAGAGCTGACTAAAACATGAAAGAACTCAGCTTCACGTCCACAATCAATAAAGTGCTTTACTGATAAAAATACATAACTTAATTGTAGTTCTCAATAAATGTAATATATTCAAAAGAGCAGAACAGTATGCGTTTCATGCTCGTCTATTATACTTGTCAGACAATGTCTTCATTCAGAAGTCCATTGATGTCCCCAGTGATCAGCTTGGTGCAAGCTGTCAAGGACAGCAGAGAGCAGAAGACCCACAAGGCAGAAGAATCTGTGAATCCATAGTTCAACATGCAGAAGCCAAGTTCTTCTGAAATTGGAGTTTGAACTTTTCTTTCAGCTTATTGATTGATTCAAGCTCTCCAGAAGTCAGTGTGTCCTCACCCAACGTGGGAAATATGCAGACTGCTTTATTCCTTCTAATTGCCAAAATAAACAAAATAAACTCTTAAAATATGACTTATTACCAGAGTCCTTCCTTGTTCAATTGACTGGTTCAGTCAGAAAAACATTTGGACAAGCAAAGGATGTACCCTTGGTTGCACTCTCCCCCTAGCCCCACCCCAGATTCAGCAACACAGTACTGTACACGTTTGGTCAAATCTCTTGCCATTCTTTAAAAAAATAATAATAGTGTGATTAATTTATTGGCTTCCCAAGTAAATAGGCAACTTAGGAATGAGGAAAGAGCTTGTGCATTTTACACCTGCAAGGAACAATGATCAATTTCCTCCCAATACTGCAAAAGATGTTGATTTTCTCTGATTTGTCATCTGTTGCATGCGCAGTACCTTGCACTCACCAAGGGGAGACCCAATGAAGTACAAGCTAAGTTCTCTAAGCTTACGAACATTACCAGCTTATTGTTATATTTGGAGTCATGCACATAGCTACATTCAGAATTGGACTACCATTCCTTCCATCTTAAAAACAACTTGGTTAGGTAAACTTTGAGTTATTGTGCTCACGTAGACAAGGCTATTAGGGCACAAGAGGTGAAATCTAAGGTCATACAACTAATTAGTGACTGAGTCAAATTCCGAAGTTAGGTTTCTTTGCCTTCAGTTTCTCCCACTAGATCAAATTGCTTCTTCAGAACAATGCAGAAACAGCATTCGAGAAGGCATTTAGATTTATTTCTAAAGTTGATCTGGCTCCATCATGAATATTAAAAAAAAAAAAAAAAGCCCACCTGATTTGTAATTGGAGCCTGGAGAATCACCCATGGCCTGAGTTGATGATTTGGTTACCAGCTGCTGGAACACTTCAATGGGAAGACGTGAAATTCCTGCAGGAAATGACTCCAGGCAGCTCTGAATTAGTAAGGAAATTAAATGACTAACTTCAATATTTCCTGGCTTTTGTCTATCTTAATTAACAATTTATTTTGGTAAAGGAAAAATTGAACAACTTTCTAATAGTCAACATGTAAAACTTAATATTTGTTTATAGTAAAAACACGATTCCCATGTCTGTTTTTATTTAAAGAAAGGAAAAACATTTTTGAACAATTTGCAGTAACCATACTTATTAAATCATTCTTTAAAAAAAAAAGAATCCAACAATTACAGCATATGTGTGTGGGAAATATCAATTTCCTTTTCATAGTTCCCAAAGGTGCACTTGAGAAAAATGTGTTGATTATTAACAGGGCTAATATTTTTGTGGTAATGTTATTACTGAACATCTACAATAACTGGAGTTTGGGATTGACAGAGGTATTTTAGCCAACATTTATTATTGATTTCCATGTCACATTGAATATAGCATGGACCTAGATGTATGTCATTATGACTTTTGATACACATTTTGATATGACTCTTATTTTGCCTTCATTCATTTATTCAACAATATTTACTGAATGCATGCTATGTGCCAGTCATTCTTCTAGGTGCTGAAAATACACGATAAATTAAAGCTCTTGCTCCCATGGACTTCACGTTCTAGTTGAAGGGAGGTGGATGATGCCAAAAGGCAGGGAAATACATCAGGTAAATGGTAATGAGATGAGAATGCGGGGCGGGGGGTGCTTCCTTAGATGGGGTGGAATCAGGGAAGCAGAAATGTCCTGCGTCAGACTCTTTGAAGAAACTTGATGATGTAACACTTAATTCATCATGGACAAGTATCATGTCACCTGTCCTGTCCTGGACTCCACAAATGTTTAGGATAAACTTCTGAGTTCAAGGATAATGGAAAGAAATTTCAAGAAAGCTGCTTTTTTTTTTTTATAACTGTGTGAATTTTCTTTCTTTCTAGCTTTCTTTACTACATAACATCTCTTAGGAATGAGGAGAATGAGGCAAAATTAAGATTGCCATCACAGAGCTAGTCAGCTGTATTGCCAAACAAACTTGTATGTGAACTTCTATTACTAGTTAAATTTGGAGGCGCCAACTTTATTTTCACTAAAATTGAATAAAGGCAAATTCTATTTGATGTCTTCAGCATGCCTATGAACAGCAACAACAGGTGGTACCTTTCGTTGAACGATATAATATGCCAAGTACAGAACTTCTCATACATTTTTTTTCTTATTCTCACAAGAGCTCTGCATATAGTATGATTGTTCCCATCTTATAGGTAAGGAAATTGGGACTCAGGTATGTTACATATGTTCCCGGAGGTTCCAGAACTAATAAGGCCACACATAATTGGAGTGCTATGTCACTTCTGCTGGACCCCACATCGCTGGGAGGAATGAAGGAGGTTGTCGGATTTAACATCATTTTACATACAGGCAAATGGAGACAGCCCTTGTGACCTGCCCAAAGTCACAGAGTCAGTGAGTTGGTGGCAGAGTTGGGATTAGCTCCAGCTGACACAGGCTGCCTCCCCATGAAAGCTGTGAAAGCCAGACCCTGTAACTCACTGCCTTTCCAACAAATGTCCAGGGCAGTGGATACTCATTTGGGACAAGGGTGAATCTTGACCCCTCTCCCATAACATACTTAAAAAAAAAATCAATTCCAGGTGGATCAGTGACCTAAACATGAAAGATAAACAACAAAGTTTTTAAAAGAAAAAATAGGGGAATACCTTCATGACCTCAGGGTAGGCAAAGAAGTGCTGACGAACATGATGGTTAAAAATAAGCACATTGAATTACATTAAAATTGAGGATTTCTGTTCATCAAAGGGTACTATTAAAAAATTAAAAATGTGAAAAGGGGGGTGCCTGGGTGTCTCAGTCTGTTAAGTGTCTGACTTTGGCTCAGGTCATGATCTCATGGTTCATGAGTTCTAGCCCCACGTCGGGCTCTGTGCTGACAGCTCAGAGCCTGGAGCCTGCTTTGGATTCTGGGTCTCCCTCTGTCTCTGTCCCTCCCCCGCTCACACTCACTCTCTCTCTCTCTCAAAAATAATTAAACATTAAAAAAATTAAAAAAAACCAAAAAACAAAAAACAAAAACAAAACAAAAAATGTGAAAGGGAAAATCACAAAATAAGACCAAGATATATATGGGGCACTTGCATAGTTCAGTCGGTTAAGCATCTGACTCTTGACTTTGGCTCAAGTCATGTTCTCATGGTTATGAGATAGAGCCCTGTGTCAGGCTCTGCTCTGACAGCATGGAGCCTGCTTGGGATTCTCTCTCTCCCTCTGCCCCCAACTCCCTCTTGCACACATGCTCTGTCTCTCAAAATAAATAAATAAACATGAAAAAAAAAAAAGACAAGATATCTGCAATACACATATCTAGCAAAGGGCTCATATCAGTGTGTGCATGTGTGTGCACTCATTTCTACAAATAATGGCGAAAGGTGGTTAATCCAATAGAAAAATGGACAAAAATCTTGAACAGGTATTTCACAAAAGAGGATATACCACCAGCTTGTTAACAGACGAAAGGGTGTTTGATATACTTAGTTATTAGGAAAATTCAAATTCAACCTACGATTTGATACTGTTACACACTCCCAAGAATGATTAAAACGAAAAAAAAATCAAATATTCAGTTGGACCATATGAAATTGCAATTTTTTGCAGGTCAGAAATAAGCACGTATCAACACTTTCATATAGTTTAATCTATACCAAGTATTGAGGAGGGTGTGGGGACCCCAGAGCTTCAGACACTATTGAAGTGTGAGCTGGCACCATGCTTTGCAAATCATAACTGAGAGTATGGCAGTTAGCTATTGCTCTGTAACCAACTACACTAAAGCTTAGTGACTTAAAAAACAAACAAACAAACAAACAAACATGTATTAATTTATGCAAGTTCTATCAGCCAGGTGGGCAGCTCTGCTGGTCTGGATTAGGTTCAGTTAATCTCACCTGGGCTTCTTCATGCATCTGTGGTCAGCTGGCAGGATGGCTGGGGGCTGGCTAGTAGGATGGCCTTGTCCAGGATTACTCTGCCCCTCTCCTCATGGCTCCCACATCTTGGACTTGTCATCACAGGGAAGCAAGGAGAGAGCAAAAACACAGAAGTGCTTTTATGAGCTTTACTTATATCAACTTTTCTACTGTCCCATTGGCCAAAACAAGTCACTGACCAAGCTCAGAGTCGGCATGGGAGGGCAATATGGTGGCATGAATGCAGACATGCATGAAAAATTGGCTAGGATTTATTCAAACTGGATAAATATGTGTATATCCTATGACCCAGCAATTTCCCTCGTAAGTATGTACCCAACAGAAAGGACTACATGTGCTCACGAAGAGACATGTACAAGAATATTCACAGAAGCACTATTTATAACAGCTTCAAGCTTAAAACAACTCAAATATCCATCCATGTAGAGTGGATAAGCAAGCATGCTGTGCTATATTCATGCAGTGGAACAGTACACAGCAATGAGAATGAATGGGCTACAATAACATGTAGATAGATACATAGGTAGGTAGGTAGATGATAGATGATAGATTTTACATATATATATATTTTACATATGGATGTATATATGTATATATATACATCCATATGTAAAATATATATATATAATATATATATGTATATATTCCTGGGATTTTAAATATCTTAACTATTTTCTTGTCCACCTGTCCCCTTTGTGATTATTCAGTCACACAAAACATTCTTAGCAACTCCATCTACCTTTGTTGTTTGTGTTAACTGCTGGTTTCCCTCTAACGTCATCACATCTCTTTTGTTATTAGTTGCCTACAAAAAAAATTCAGAGCATACTGGGTAATCTCACAAGACCTATACAATGACTGTCAATTCCCTCTATTTCTATGACATGGAACACCTTCATAAGCGTCTTGTTAGAGTTTTGGCGGCTTGCCTTCTCAAGATCTGTCATGGATTCTTACAGTGCACTGTTTGCCGTCACTTCAGGGGTTTGTAGGTGTACTGAGAGGGTGTTTATCACTCCCTAATGTCAACTCATCTACCAAATATTAGTATTTCAGATAATAGCTGCCATCCTTTTTCTGGCTCGCTCCTTTCATGGACCATACTTCATTTGTCACGTGGATGTTTAGAGGACGGTTTTGTTGATGTCAGAGAGACCAGTAAGTGAGGTGTCATCTGAAAAAGCCATCAGCTTACAGTGATACCTTCTTCAGACTCATCAGCACAGTTATTTCATTAATAGCAGTAACAAGGCACATGACATTTTTCCAAAGCTTGATGAAAAGGAAAATAATTCTTTACATTTAGTTTTCCACTCAGGTTTCTCTCCATGTGACAAGGATATTTATTTTTCTTTTCTTCTTTCTTTCTTTCTTTCTTTCTTTCTTTCTTTCTTTCTTTCTTTCTTTC